GTGCATTCATTTTCTCTTGAGTGTATGTATGTGTGCATCCGTTATATCTTGTATAAGTGTTTTTTCTCTTGTCGAAGTTTAACCTTTAATGCAGTTGCTGCTGGACTTTGCCCCCCTCCCTCCCCCCTCCCCCTCCCCCCCTCCCTCCCCCCTCCCCCTCCCCCCCCCTTCCCCCCCCCCACACACCATTGGACCTTGGTGCCCAGTCAGGAGACACGATCACGTTTTGCGCCAAGGTACCATTTCGAGGAGTGTGTACCCCTTGAAAGAAAAAAATTAACTGATTGATTGATTGAACTGACATGCCGCGGGGCTACCGACAGATAAGGCCGGGCCGGTCTAAGAAAGGTTCACCGCAGGGAATGGATATGTTGACTTCGCATTTACAGCCGTAATTTGATTAAAAAGAAAATAGGGGCAAAGACTTTCTGATTTGCCCACGTATCAAGGTCTGGCCACACTGTCTACAAAGTCGAACCGGTCGCACCTGGTTAAAAGTTCGAAGGTTACTCGAACCGGTTCGAACCAGTCGAACCCAAAATGTTCGACCTAAAAATTCGGTTCGACAAAAGTTCGCGACACCCCTTCATAGCACTACGTCGCACACGCAGATAAATCTGGGCGGCGGGAAACGAACTTGTTCCGGACTCCAGGGGTGGACCATCTTGATCTATCATGCATTATAGAGGACAAGTGCTCAGATGGTGATAAGGTGAAACAAAGGGGAATATTTGGTTTGTTCTTGAAGGGACACTAATAGGGTATTTATGCTCGCCGAGGTTTTTATTTGGACGTGACCTATAAAAATCCAACTACCCACTGCAGCACACAATTTGCGGCTCGAAATTCGTTTTCTCTTTGCCCGAAAACAGCCCGTCGAGTATTGGCCGGTTTCAGTTACGCTCACTATTTTTTTCTGTGGTCGTGTGCTGCACCGGTGAAATCTTTAGCACAGTCCCCACGTTTCACGCGTGCTTTAAGTCTTTTTCTTAAAATTAACTGAATGAAGGATTTTCGATGACGCTCAGCAAGTTGTTAGTTTGAAGCAGGTTCTTTGGCACTGATTAAAAAGTGAATTTGTAAATCTTAGTTCATTAGTTAGGTCATTAGTGTGTGTGTGTTAGGACCCCTGACGTCCACCGCGGTTGGAACTTTGTTACCAAAAAAAGTTTATTTTCATCCTTTTTTTTCCCGTGACCACCGAGGACTTTTTGAAAGCCTTCTCTGAAACACCGGCCATGGGCGTACCAACCGGGGGGGGAAGGGGGGGGGGGGCAAGGGGGGCGGTTGCCCACTTAGTTCTCAGAGTGAGGGGGCAAGGCACGTGTCTCGCCCCCCCCCCCCCCCCCCCCCCCCCCCCCCCCCCCCCCCGAAACAGCCACCACTGGGCAGGGCAAACACTGGCCGGCGGCGCCCAAGGGATAGCAAGGGCACCGCCCCGCCCTGGGGGGGGGGGGGGGGGGGGGGGGTCTGGTTTGCCTTCCCACTCAAAAACAAGTTGGTACGCCACTGGCTGTGCTTGAAATGCATTTTGTTATTTTGTTCTGCCTCTGTCACAAGTTTCAGTGTGTCGACTACAGACCGGCTTGCCTGCCCTATACCGTTGTCTTCGATCAAGCAAAGCCGGAGTTATTCGTTGTTCGTGCTAACCTTGTCGTGCTCTGTACACGATGTGCAATGCGCCCGCCCCACCCACCCCCCCTTTTTTTTTTGTTGCTAAAAACAACAACAGAAAGCAACACTTTTTTTCATTTTTTTGCACAAGAAAATTGCGCGTTTCCCAAGGCTCATTTTTTGACGAAATGTAGCGCTCGTCATCCCAACTAGATTTCAATGTTTCAGTGCAGTCCGTTATCTAATTCAAAAGTTATAAGTGCTTTTTTGAAAATTCCAATGAAACAATGAGATAAGTTTTTAGTAACTGGCATTATTCAGTCCTGTGCATTCGAGAACTTCGTCAGTTGCCATTTTCACATTGAAAAATTAACAAAAATCACTTATGACTTTTGAATAAGGGAACAGTTATTTCTGAAACTTTGGCATCTAGTTCCGACTGCTAGAGGTACA